GACGGTGAGATTGGGCCAATAAAGCAGCCCCTGACCCAGGCTAATCGGAGCACCGTTTCGAACAAAGTTATCTTGCACCAATCTGCCTACATGTGGCACGCCACACGTTTCCTGCTCTGCGCCATTTAGCTGACGGACAAAAATTAAAAATAAAAACCCGTGCAATAAGATGATCGGACAATTCCGAACGGGCAAAGCTCTGCACGTCGCGGATGCGGCACACGCGGCCAGTTCAGATGTGCCGAGGTCATCATTGCTCGGCTGGGAGTTCAGTCTCCAGCCCTCAGTAAAAGGGTTACTGCTGTGATTTTCGAGCATTCCTTATGGACGTTTCATGGAGCTCGGCAGGCAAAATCAATTCAAAATGCAAATCTAAGGCTGAGGTTACAGTATGTTAAGTTGTTACATTGAGGAGAAGAGTGATTTTGCTGTGCCTTTTTATCAAAGAGTCTTTTCATGAAATTTTAATCTTGAAAATAAAACATTCTCAGCTGTGGAGCTGTGTTTTGAAGAGGAAGATTACCCACAGCCTTTCTAAATCAAATGGTTTCAGCAGTCTCTCTGTTACTGGCAGTGAGAATATTAGCACATCCATTCACTCATTCGCATTTTCTAACCACCCCTTCTAATACAGGGCCACAGGAGAGCTAAAGCCTAGCCCAGCAAGCAACAGGTATAAGGCAGGATACACCCTGGATGGGACGTCAGTCCATCACCGGGCACACACAGACACAGAGAGTGTCAATTTTCCAGAAGCCAATTAACCTACTAGCATACTGTACTGTGGGAGCAAACAGGAGCATCTGGAGAAAACCAACGTGAACACAGGGAGAACATACTGTACAAATTTCACACAGATAGCAGGAATTAACTCAGGGGCTGCAGTGGACAAGACTATTAAAATACAGCATATAAATACAGCATGACTCCAGTAGTTTTACTAGCTCCCAGCATGCGAAACTACAGCTAAGTCTGTTTCATTTATAAATTTCACAATTTATTAAAAATGCTTTCAATTCTTTAATTACTGAGACATGAAGCAGAAAAACAACACTCAATAACAGAAACACAAGCATGAGATAAAACAGAAGACACCACAAGGGAAGGGTGAAGTGTAATTCATCACTGAGAATCCCGTTGGGCAATATTGGTCTTATTTCTTCAAAAAATATTCTTTATTTCCAGTTCAGCTGACAGTTCATGTTCCACTTCTTCCACAAGTGAAAGCACAGAAGTGATAATATATCCTTTCCCGATTTTTCTTTCACATTTACTAACACTATAAAGAAAAAAAACATTTTCTTTCCTAACCATCCAATGTTCTCACTACACAGATCGTGCTAGACCCACGACACTCTGCCACTCTGTATATCCCATAGCATCTGCTTTGCTTTCTGTTATTTAATCTCTGCTTCTGGCCCATTCAGATTCCCCCTCCTCTGTTTCAGTTGCACTTGATGTTTCAGCATCTTTCGATCCTGTTAAACAGATCCTCTTCTTTTGTTAGTTTTGGTACTGTGCTGCCTGGGCCTCTTCCTATCTCCCTGATCATTCCTGTCAGGTGTCAGGTGTCTCTTTCTTCACCTTGTCTAACCTCTATGGGTGTTCCCCAGAGATCAGTACTTGGACCTCTTGTCATGTTCTCTTTACATTCCCTGGTTTTCCTGTGCTTTCTTACAAACTGACCATGTTCTCTTTTATAAAACATATTATTTTCTTTCAAACTGCCTCTCAGCCATCTCAACTTGTGTAATTCTTATAGCTTTAGGACTTCTGAAGTCATGCCTGCCTATTCCTTTCCCAGTACTAACCAGGCCCAGACTTGCCTACTTTTCGAGATCTCACAAGATCAGGATTCCTGGTGGCAGTGCTTCTGTTGAATAACGCTATTGTGTGTGGTGTTTCAGAAGATCCTAAAATTAAAAAGTCATCTGAGGAACTTTTTTCTTGTAAAGTATGACCTTTTCTACAAGATAAACTGAAATGGGAATGGTTCATGTGTGGTGTTTTATATCGGTTGCTTAATCTAAGTCTGCCTGGTATTTATAAGTATCATGAATCTTCACCCCTTGACTGGTGTGGAAGAGTGACATCAAAGTTAAAAAAAAACATCTTTAACAATTCTATGTCCTTCCACAAAATAAGTACTTAACCATGTGCTTTTGTTTATTTTGTTATCACTGCATTTATTTTTATTGAATTCAAGCCATTATATATAAAGCAGAAACAATCATTGTAATCCCATTGGTGTTAAAATAACACTCATATGACTTTCCACTTGTCTGGCACTTTTCTCTGTGTACTTTAACCACTTTCATTAGGGACAGTAACATGTTGTAGAGATTAGTTTTATTCCCAAAAACTCTTTATTTCAAATTACAGAATTATACATGATTTTGTACACGTTTACATTTCTCTGCTCTGAGTATTGAGAGAACTTAAATTGAGAATTTATAGCTGGGAATTCCAGTAAACCTTCAAATGCAGATTCAGGATATCTTTAATTTTAGTACTAGAAAACTCTACATATAGCACTATGCAGGTGGGGCTACACATCTGCGGTAGCTGAGAGTCCCCAGCACATGAAATAACAATAAAATATAACTTGTCCATACTAAGGGTTATCAAGAGTTTGGTTGGATGATTTTTTTATTTACTGTTGCAATAGAAATACTGTAGACGGACACCTGATATTAACAGTACACATGCAAAGACATTATCAACCACCAAAATAGTTTTACAAAGATCATTATCTTATAAAAATAGTATATACTGTACTATGCACTATACAGTATATCATGTACTATAGTAACTATACTGTAACTATCACATTTTACATTGAATGGTCCATATTAATCTCCATGTTAGTGAACTGCTTGTACAGTACATCTTTGACATGTTCTACTTTACCCTTCTGCATACCAGAGATACTAGCTAAAATAATGATTGTTTATTATTCAAGCAGGTTATATTATTCAATCAGTTCAAGTTAATATAATAAATAATATACATACTGAATTACTGGGGATAGTACAAAAATGAACGTTAATAATTGTTTCACAGATAATACTGTATATTTCAAAGATAAATTAATTCTGGAATAGGCCTATTTCTGGATGTATAAACCAAGGACTAAAACATAATCTAAGCATAGGCTGACTGAAGAGTTTGTGACTGAACTAATAAACACTGTAATTAAATATAGTCTGAAACTAATGCCCAAGAAAGCAGTGGACATGATTTTGCAGTTGCTAGCTGTGACAGCTGTCAGGAAAATGGAGCACCCCAGCTGAGAGCTCTGATCCTCTGAGTCAGGTCTGGAACGTCAGGGCATAGCAAGATACCGTACCAGAAGCCATTGGAACTACGGGTAGGAAGACAGTGGCAAACAAGTGGGAATTTCACAGGAAGCGACTCAAACGGAGTTCTGCACAAAAGATTCTGTTTATGATAGTCCAAACAAAGCAAGCTGTTTTTGTTGGAGCCTGCTGTTTTTAAGTATGGTCTCGACGCCGAGGTGATAAAAATGAAGAGAGCATGCTGGTGCGAAAGACCTGGTTTGCTGGCCCACTGCTAGGGTGAATATTCAGCACAACAGCAGAATTCAGGGTCTGATTAAAGAGAAGGCAGGTGGCAAAGTTTTTGCAATGCATAAAGAGTGAAGTTAAGTATACTATAAGGGACAACTGAGAGTAAGGCACTGTGCACATGCTTTTTGGAATGCTGCACCACTGTGCATTGCTTTGATAAACTGCCTTTCTGTTTTCCCCTGGACAACTGTCTGACAGTATTCCCTGAGCTACCTGAACAAATTAACTCAACTAGAAAATATTACACACACAAACAAAGTGATTAAGTTTCATGAATGAGCTGAAATGATCATTCTGTGACCTAGCTATTCTTGTTGCTTCTTTTTATATAAGGGAGGGAAGAGAAAGCTCAGCATTGATATTACAAAGTAGGTGATGTAATGGACAAAGCCTGTAGGTGGTTTTAGAGAGAAAGCCAGGCATTGATCTTATACTGTAGGTGATGTATAATAGCAGAGAGCCTGGAGGTGGCTGCAGATCAGGAGATTGCTGTGGCTTGCACAATAGCTGCTTATTTGTTCTGAACTGGGGATTTGATCAGCCTCAGCTGGGACAGATGGGAGAGAGCATAGAGTTTTGAAAAGATGTGCATGATCCCACAGCTCCACTCAGGACTCAGTGAATGAGAACCCCCAGTTTTATCTTTATAATGCATGACATCAGAACGGTAATGCAAACATTTGAATGATACAATCATGTCCTTCTCATGCCAAGTTTGACACTGAGGAGCTCCCAATTATATATGAGTGTTTCTTTATCCCCTTATGTTTTATAGCACTTGCAGGTGGTTTCACAGACCCTGGTTAGCTGTAATCCTAGATTAAATTACACATGCACTCTAGATTAATGAAAAGATAATGGAATTAACAAAATTTAAAATACTCCTGGATTATAGTAGTTCTTGATTAAAAAGAAAAATTAAATATAGTCTAGAAATATGTAGACACTTGCTTTAAATGTGTGAAAGGGTTTGAATTCCAGATAAATCCAGTGTTTCTTCTGCTTGGACTGCTAGGATTGCTTGGACTGTGCAAATGATGTCAAGTATGTTCCAGGGAGATCAGAGAGAAGACTACTGCTTAATTTTAAGAGACAAGTGATAAAATTAATTATTATTGTAATGACATCAATCGACAAACGTTTCTAATACTGTTTTACTGATATTGTATCATTGTCAAAAATGTTAATTACAAGTAAAACAAGGACTGTCTTCATCCCTCAAAGAAGATAGAATTTCATGTTGTTATCATTCTAAGCAAAAATAAATTCTCTGAAATCACTTTCTTCACCATGTTTTCCTGAAATGTCTTACGGTTGCTTAGAAATGAATCAGGGGATGGAGTCTCAGTTGATTCACTCATAACATCTGCTTTCACTCTTGAATTCCGGAAAGGGTTCATCTTGACATACCTTTTTGATATGAATCATAAACATCTTGTCTCGATCGTCATCCTTCCTCTTAAGGGAGCTTCGACCCTTTGGTATTTTAGTTGATTATGCGCATCTCCCTCCTGTTTTGTCTCCTTATTTAAGCCCGGCGCTCTCGCTATTCCTGGCTCAGCACTGGGAGATGGGCGCCCAGAAGCCCACCCACCAGCGGGTCCAGAAGAGACCCGATGGTTCAGGCTTCCTCACAGTGTCCTGACCATCTGAGTCCAGGGCTGGGAGCGCCTGGCCTCGTTACCTTCGTTTTATTCCCTGTCCCTGTTCCAGATCCCGTTATGGATTTGAAGTGTGTTTGTCTCGTCTTGGCTCCCATTACACACCTCCTCTGAACCCATAGTTAAAGTCATAGTGCTTAGTTCCTACTATATAGAAAAATAAATATATCTCTGCTGTGGGTGCCGTAGTGTGAAGACATATTGATACACCTTTTTAAAATAAGGCATGATCCTGAAGGCTTGGCTCTGCCTGAGTTCTTGGCTCTTGATACATGATTTACAATCCAAGTGGAATACACGCTGGCTATGACAGCGGGGAATAGCATAGAGAGAGCCCGAAGGTGGCTGGAGACATACAAAACAATGGTGTCATTTGTGTTGTCAGCAGACTGGGAGGATCAACATCCCCTGAAACTTACCTCATTTTGATGACAGAAAATCAGAATGTGCCACGTGCACTCCTTCAAAGTGAATTGTTTTGAGTTCAATGGTGATGATTAGGCTTTGAAATTAAAAGACAACTCCTTAAGGTTTGGGAATATGTTTTTGGCATCATGCAAAAAAACGAACAGACTTATCAGACCTTGATCTATTTCTTCAAAGTATAAGTATAAAAAGTATCAAACTATAAAGTAGAAGTTTAAAATGCCTATATTTTAGGACATGAAACTGGAATAAAAACATCAAGATCTGAAATGTGCATTTAAACTTAATTGCCTGCAAATCCTTTCCTTTAAGACATTTAATGCAGAAGCTATTCTTTCAACACTGCAATAAAAGCACAAAGAAAACATCTAAATTATGTCAAATCTCACATTTGGCTGCAAAAATTACAGAGGCAGCATTGTGTTGGGAAACGCGATTTGTTGATTTTGGATTCATCAAGCAGAGCTGCCTTGTTCTTTCTTGCTTTGGTAGACCTGGCAAAAGGCCCTTAAGTCCTTATAAAATGAACGGAAAGAGAGGAAGGTTATCAATTGGATGGTTTGTTATCTCTTGAAACCATGTTAAAAAATGTTCGTGTAGATACTGTGTCAGTTGTCAGTCGCAGATAAGATTTTGCCAACGAACAATACTTTGCAAAAAAACATCCATGGTTCAGAAGCCAGAGACAAACAAATAGCTTAAATAACCCATACGGTCTGATGATGCCATAATAAATATTTGGTTTATTTGAATTGCTGGGTTGTTACAGTCACAACCTGGCATTTGTGTAGTTCTGGCTTCTTGTGAAACTGATTTCCCTTCCCAGGGATTTTTACAATGCCATCAAGGCGTGTTTGTGTGTGGGACAGTTCCTGTTTCTGCCATGATGTTCTGCAATTAGGAGCACAAAAAATAAACTGTACTGCTTTCCAGCTCCTTATCTCCTATTTCAGTAGTCTGGTCGAAGTCTAATGTATGAGAGGAGAGAAAAGATCTGCAGGAATAGTGTCCTTAATGTTGTACATCTTGTGAAGTTGGGCTGGAGGGAGAGATACTGGGAAAGATGTGCGCAGGAAGGAAGCAAAGCAGATGCAAATTTATACATCAGAGAGTGGAAGTGCGAGATTACAGTTCAACCATCTTCCAAATGTCTGTCTACCAGCTTCGTTTACAGGGACATGATCTGGACAGTCCCTCTCTTTCACACTATGCATGTCCATGTGCTTAGAAATTAACTTACTATATTTTAACTATATTTACTATATTTATTATACTATATTTTAAGACAGTCATTTTTCAGTTTTTCCGCTAGCTCCAGTTTTTCCAGCAAAGAGAAATTTTGGAATGAAAAATAATTAGGTATGATATCAAAATGTTATTGTAGAACACAATATCTCTCAACCAAGCTCAGTCAGCATCCCAGGCAACAGTAGAGTACTCCTCTTCCAATTCATTGGTCTCTTCTGAGACATTTTGAGCACAGAATAAACTAATAGATCAAATCAGTTCATGTTAAATAGGAAATGCCCCATGCCACAGGAAGAATATTGCTACACTGGAGAGAATAAGGGTAAATACCACCAGAGCAATTCAAGGCCTTAATGTACGCCACAGATCGACAAGTTTAAAAGAGCTTGTTGAACCTCACTCTATTGAACAAATCTAGGCATGTATGATTCTCCTGAAAGGGAATATGGGAGTCCACTTAAATAAATATGTAATTCCAAGCTACACTGTCGAAGGCAGTCAGCCTAATCACCACCTGAGAGAAGCCAGATGTCAGTCCTTAAAGGCGTGATACCTGAAAGCTAGGCTCCTCCCTATTTAAACTTGTGCTCACTTTCAGCAGGTGTGTGAGATTACTAGAGGATGCATAGTACTACAGTACGTCCCAGGGCTCAGTGAAATAATCCTGTCTCAAAGAGAGACAGTGATAGAGAGATTGACTGAATACCTGAGGAAACTAGCCTAGATCTGAAGTACTGTGAAGCTACTGAGGGGTCATCAACTGAAGACTGCGACAATTTTGTGACAAGATTAAAAGAGCGCTGTTGCTGGTCTTTGTCCTTCCCAGGTCATTGACAGCAATGCCAGGGAGAAGGAACTTGCTTTCGGTCCTGTGGGACTTGTACAGAAAGGAAACCGTGAATCAGTGCTGAAAACGCGTAACGCCATTTACTCACAAGCGCATAAAAAGCACGATTCCTGAAAATAAATCATTAAAAGTGCTTAGCAATGCTAGGAATGGTGCACATCACAAATAAAGCAAGGAGACTAAGATCGATTGTTCACTCCAGTCTGCCAGGAAATGGAAGTGGAGTTTCCTCTGTGTATGGTAAGACTGGGAGGAAGGCAGAGCCATGAAACACAATAGGGGCACCAGAAGAGGAAGAGTGCTTCACTTGTTGTGGATGGGGGGGTCTGTGACCAGAAGCTCCAGTTCCATTAATCCGTATTCCAAATATGATTTCAGTCTCCTGCCTGCAGCCAGCCCCCGAACACAATGTTATCAGCGGATGCCCAGCACAATGCCTCGCCTGCAGCATTCACACAGTTACCACTTGATGGGCCCCCTGAACTCTCATAATTTTATGACCTTAATAAGGCCAGACTTCTGTCAAATGCAAGATACCGAGGTGCCGTGGTCCCGGTGTCAATGGGCCACACTTTGCTGCATGATAGCCCACGCCACCGAGGTGTTGCTATCGCACTTGGGCACAATGTGGTGCCAGGCGGCGATAATCACGCTTTTAAAAATAAGGTGTGATGCGCAGTCACAGGGCTTAATTTATTCCCCTTTCCACTGCCACTTACACACTCACACAGTTATGATTGAATGCCTAACGGGAAGATCCTACTTTACTTTTATTGTACACTCCTGACCTAAACAAATCCAGAGTCGGAACGTACATGTCAGCTGAGGGCCATCCAACTGTTTGTGTGTACTTAGATAAGTAATTGCATTCTCTCACGTACACTACTTTCTGCCCGCTCAACTGAGCAATTAAACGAGCAGCATTCTTCTATTTTAAGTACCTGTATGTCTTAATTCTTAGAAGAAATGCACTGAGGAGTCCTGTTTGGGGAAAATGGCATCAATCATGAAGTTCAAGCTCAAGTTTATTGTCATTGTACTCATATATAGGTATATGGTATAATGAAATGCTATTTAGCTAGCTCTCAGACAATAACTAGTACAAAAAATAATAATACAATTATATAAGAAAAGAAAGACAGAGACAACAGGCAGTGTGCAAAACAACAACAGGCAATGCGCAAAACAACAACAGGTTACAGGTAATGTGCAAAACAACATCAGATGTGCAAAATCATACATCAACAGAATGAAATAAAGGATAGAAAATTATGGGGAGTGAGCTTCTTGTCATGTGAGGTAGAGGTAGATTTCAATGTGTTTTTGAGTTTTTGATAAGAACGCACTGTGAGGTTCAGATCATAGGTGAGAGAGGCTGGGAGTTTAATAGTTTGATAGTGCGGGGGTAAAAACTGTCTCTGAGTCTGGTAGTCCGGGCCCGAATGCTCCGGTACCGTTTTCCAGATGGTACAGGGTCATACAGTCTGTAGCTGGGGTGTGTGGGGTCTTTGATGATGCTTAGAGCTTTCCTCAAGCACCGTCTGTCATAAATGTCCTGTATGGATGAGAGGGCAACCCCAGTGATGGACTGGGCAGTTTTTCACCACCCACTGTAGGCCTTTGCAGTCAGCAATACTGCAGTTGCCATACCACACTGTGATGCAACCTGTCAGTGTGCTTTCTGTAGTGCATCTGTAAAAGTTAGTGAGGATCTGGGGACATATCTTAGCCTTCTTCAACCATCTTAGGAAGTACAGGCGCTGTTGCGCTTTCTTGATCAGACAGGTGGCTTTGAGAGACCATGTGAGGTCCTCAGTGATATGGATGCCAAGGAATTTGAAGTTACTGACCCTTTCCACTTCAGTCCCGTTGATGTGGATAGGGGTCGATCAGCTCCTTGGTTTTGCTGACGTTGAGGGTGAGGTTATTGTCTTCACACCACGTTGTAAGGAGATTGACCTCCTCCCTGTAGGCCCTCTCATCATTGTCAGTGATCAGACTTACAACTGTGGTGTGATCGGCAAACTTGATGATGGAGTTGGTGTTGTGTTTGGCCTTACAGTCATGGGTGTAGAGGGAGTAAAGTAATGGACTAAGATCACACCCCTGGGGGACTCCAGTGTTCAGAGTTAGTGTGCTGGAGGTGTGGTTTCCAAGCCTGGCAGCCTGAGGTCTGCCTATCAGAAAGTCCTGAATCCAGTTGCAGAGGGTGGCGTTGAGACCCAGTGCACTGAGTTTCTTGACTAGTTTCTCTGGAATGATAGTGTTAAAAGCTAAGCTGAAGTCGATGAATAGTCATCTTACGGATGTGTTCTTTTTATCCAGATGGGATAGGGCAGTATGTATGGCAATGGAGATTGTGTCATCTGTGGATCTGTTGGGCCGGTAGGCGAATTAGTATGGGTCCAGTGTGTTCAGAATGGTGTCCTTAATGTGCTTCATGACCAGCCTCTCAAAGCACTTCATGATGACAGGTGTTAGTGCCACCG